AGAAAAGCGGCAGGGGCTTGTGGAATTGTGAATGAGCCTTAGAAACAGGGGGGGGGAGGGGATGACTAACATGTTGGTCCGGATATTCAACTGGATATGGAAACACGGTACGCGCCGAAGAGATGGAGAGAAGGAGTAGTCGTGAACCTGTTCAAAAAGGGGGATAAAGCTGACCCGGGGAATTATAGAGGGATAACCCTGTTGAGCACAGTGGGGAAACTGTTTGGCAAGATGATAGACAATAGAATGGGAGACATGTTGGAGGGGAAACAAAAGATCAGCGAACAAGCTGGATTTAGACCAGATCGTAGTTGTGTAGACCATGTATATACGTTGAGTAAAATTATTCAAGGTAGGAAAGACGCCGGGCGTACGACATACTGTTTATTCCTAGATGTACAAAAAGCCTACGACACCGTATGGCGCAATGGATTGTGGAAAAAGATGTGGGACATCGGGATCCGGGGGGAAATGTGGAGGATGTTGAAAAAGATGACAGAATGCACAAGAAGTGCGGTGATGTTGGATGGGGAAATTTCGAAGTACGTGGATATACTCCAAGGAGTCGCACAGGGCTGTACGATGTCACCCACTCTCTTTAAGATTTACATCAACGATTTGATAAGGGCGGTTGAAGCAGTAAGACAGGGAGTCCAAGTAGGGGGAAAGAGTGTGTCCGGACTGATGTTTGCAGATGATTTCGTGGGGGTATCCGAAACACCAGAAGGGTTGCAAGAACAAATAGATGCGGCGGTAGGATACACCCGAAAATGGAGACTGTCGGCGAACGTAGGAAAATGCGCAGTAGTGGTCTGTAACGAAGACAAGAAAAATCCCGTAGAATTCAAATGGAAATGGGGGAAGGAAGAACTACCGGTAGTAGACAAGTATACGTACCTGGGAGTAGAGATTTCGAAGGAGTGCTCATGGGACGCACACATAGCGAAGTTGATTGGGAAGGGTAAAGCTCAGATAGGCAAGATGGACGAGATCCTTACGGACCCACACCTAGACACTAGGATTAAGAGGTGTATTTTCTTGAATGTGATTGTACCTAAGCTAGAGTATGCAGGAGAGGTATGGGAAGATAACGAAAAGGCCGTCAAGCAGCTGGAAACGGTGCAGATGGCAGCGGCCAAGAAAATACTAGGATGTTCAAGTACAACGAGCAACACTGTATTGAGAGCAGAATTGGGAATGTACTCTCTTAAAACAAAGAGAGACATCCAGAAGTTGAATTGGCAGTACAAGGTAAGTAGAATGTCGGACGATAGACTACCAGCCATCGTTGACAAGGCAGCTTGGGGAAAAGCGACTCCAGGGAAGAAGGGAATCAGATGGGACAAGGTGGTAGAGAAGGTTTGGAAGGAGATAGGAGACGAGGAGGAGACGTTGGACACGGAAGGGTTCGGGGGGTTCAAGACGAAAGTCAAGGAGATGCTAGAAAGTAGGGAGGAGGCAACCCTTCGGAAGAAGGTACGAAGCGAAGACCACTTGGAGATATACGGGAAGTTGAAAGAAGGGATAGGGATGAAGACGTACTTGGACGGCCCCATGGACTACGCGAAAAAGCTGAAATTGCAATTTCGAGTAGGCGATCTGGACTTGCCAGAACGGAGGAAGGGGTATACCAGCCGTAGGAGAGAGGAAGAGGAGGATAGACACACATGTCCATGTGGCAAATCGGAGGAGAGTAGACCCCACATAGTTGGGGAGTGTGAGTTGTACAGGAAGGAAAGAGAGGATCTCGAGGAGGAAATGAGACAGAGAGGGTGTGACATGGACAAATTTGGTAAATTAGACAACAGCGAAAAAACGATCGCGATAATTGGGGATAGATGGTGGGCACAAGAGGCCCTAGAGGACGGGGACAAGATGTGCAAGAAATTTTTATGGAGTTTGTGGCAGAAACGTAAAGAGCTCCCAAATGTTGGTGGTGTCTCTAGTAGGGTAGGAACGGTGCTCCGTCTCGAAAGGGACGCGTGGTCAATGGTCAAATGACTACGGCAAGCAACAAATGAGTACGCCCCCCCCCCCCCCCCCTCCTTGTATTTTTCATCCCAATAAACCCGTACTCCATTCACGCTGCCCTGGGCCGCTTACTTCAACCGCATTGGGGCTCTTCCTCCCGGTTGGGGTGGTTCCCTCCTAATCAATATGCAACAATACCTCTTTTGGTCCCAAATCGCTTTTGGTTTTCGCCCCCCTTCATGAACGTTTCCGGCGGTACAACGCGAGCCCGAAGTTCTTAGCAGAGCGAAGGATGATGCATTTCCTGGCGTATACCCAGCTGTGCACTCCCTGTGCGTGATCAACGCTCCGTCCCTTTTGGGGACACCTTGAACCCGGGTGAGGTTCTCTACCTCCTGCTCTTCTCTTTTGTGTTGTGTTTTGGGGGGAGAGGGGACGTCTGTTGCCGGGAGCGCCGCATGCATCTTTCGACACGGCGTCTGACTTGTTTTTCGCAGTGTCTTGCTTCCTTCGCAAGAAAAGAGGTCAAACCGTACAACGGCTATCTCTTCTCGCCGTCTCTTTCTGAACTCACAGCGCAGGCGGTGCGTTCATCATGAATTAGACTCATCACCGAAGACACAAATTACTTGGGCTCCTACCTTGGAGAGCACGTTGACATGAGGCAGCTCAAGCCTCAGCATGACCATGAGCGAAAGCAACGCCGCAGAGATGAACAGAGACGGGTTCCTTCCGCCAAAAAGCGGTGTTCGGGAGAGGGGGTCCGGGTTTGGGGACAGGGTTAGCTGAGCTGCAGAGGTAAGGAACAGCGACGCAAAAGCTCGGAATTTAATTGCGAGGCATTCAACCCAAAGCAGTACAGCATAGTGGAGACCCGACTTTTTTCAAGGATACCAGAACGAACGAGTGAACCTCGCGTACTGCACATTTGCTACGTGTACGCTTCCGTCGATATCACCAAGACGTCGATGTGGTAGCCAAATGGTAGCTCCTCTCTCACCCGCAGTGGTACGCGTCGACAAGGTGTACCGCGGCCAGCCTGACGTCATCCTTCTGGAGCCGCTGCACAAGGTTCTGCACACAGAAACAGTGCGTGAAAAGCTCCACCTGTTGTGTTTGTTGGATGCACGAGACAGCAACAATAATACCCGGTGATGGGTAAGCCGTCTCGATGACATGGCCAAAAAACAGGACAGCAGTGAGGATATAGGGTATCGCTCCACCAGGGCGTAGCTGCGGCGCCTCTGTCCCTAGAGATCAAATAATCTGAGGCTAGAAAAAATTAGCGTGTCTAGGAAGGGGAGGCGGCGCTTGTGTGCCAGTAACACCCGGTCACAACGAGACGCACATCGCCCTGGAGAGTTTACCGTGTGTGCTCGCCGAGAAGCAAGACGGCCTGCTCAATGCGAACAGGGTGGAACAATGCTGAGTGCTCTTGTACGCAACTCGGTTACCCGCGGGGTGACACTCAGAACGTGAAACAAATAAACATCGCAGGTGCGGGTCGGCTCTTCTGAGATCGTGAACGACTGCATCCACGAACGCATCGAAGGATATCAAAACCCCTTTTCTCCGCTACGGCCGCATGCACGGGACGACGCACGCCGAGATAGATAGACTGGATGGATATCACGCGGGATCCTTTTCTCGTCGTGTTGTTGCAGCATGAGATCTGCCCACACATACAGTATACATCTCTACAAGTACCTGTCCTGGGAAGTCGAAGATGAGGTGCTTCTGGGTGAGGCCGTCGAGCTTCTCCATTAGCCAGTCCACGTTCTTCTCCAGGTACTCCAGGCAGTACAGCATGGCGCCGTTGGGGCCCAGGTTGAACTCTTCCATGACCCCCTGTGCTTCGGCGGCGGCATCACAGGAAAAACATCGCGGGAGGAGGTGTGCGTGCTACTGTAGTGTATGCACACTTTGCATTGTAGCTTTCCACAAGGGCAGAGATTTTAAACTCAAACACGTTGCTCACCTCCGCTGCTTAGGATCAGCAGTAGTCTAGGGCTATCTCATGGCAAAGGCCTACGCACTACGAAGTTCAACTATCTCCGAGCTCGCTACGTGCGTTGCAACCTTCCTGCTACGTGTGCTCTCACCTCCACAGACACCAGCTCTTGGATGTCCACGGCTGCAGCGTACGGCAACCCCTCGCCGTGGTTGGCTGGGTCAAGATTGATCACCGCCGTGTCCCTGCCGATCGCCTTCATATACTGGCACATGCCGAGGCAGTACGTGGTCTTGCCGGAGCCTGGCGGCCCCACCACGACCTGCCCAAACCGCACCATCGCCAAGCTTGCCACAGAGCGGAGAGAGGAAAGCAGCAAGGGCAGCGTCAAGCTGCCTGTTGTGTTGCGGCAGAGGTGCGGATGCGGATGCGGCGGGACTCGGGACTCGGGGAATGCGGGAGGTCCGTAATGTCGCGAGGCGTTTTGGTTGTGTGTGGGGATCTACCCGCCATTCTTGGATCGTATCTTTCGGAGAGAGGGGAAAACTAGGCTCCACTGCAGTCCTCGCGCTGAGCGGCACCGCTCAAACTGTCACCGACACACGGGCAATGCACTCGTTGAAGGAACTGCGCGCAGAGAACGCAGCAAAACGGCTCAGCAGTGATCGCACGGCCGAAGATGCGGATGGTACCTCGTCCCCGGCCGCGGCACCAACAGCAACACCTGCTGCTACTGCTGCGCCACGTGCAGGGAGGACGCTTGCACCGATCGGCTCCACCGGCTCTCTTCCTCCATCAGACGCAGCAGCACCAGCAGAACCAACCGCGGGTGATGACGACGCCCAACAGCGTGAAGACCGAGAGGCGAGAAGACGGAGACGCCTGAGAAGACGGCGAGAACGAGAACAGCGGGAGAACGCCGGCGGCGACGACAATAGCAAGGTTAGCGTCGACGACAACACAACGGCTGTGTCAGGTACATCGCAGACGAGCACTTCACGGATGGATGAGGATGAAGAAGGAGGAAGTACACCCACTGCTCGTGATACGGGCGCACCCCTAGAAGGAAGAGCGGGCAGAGGTTCGAAAAGGGAAAATAACGAACGGGTCGGAGCTGGACCGCCAAGAAGCCGCCATCCGCCTGCAGCAGGGGCCCCTTTTGTTGCGGAGGAGAAAGCCGCAGGCGGCGACAAGAAGGTTGATCCTGAAAAAAGTAGAAGTGATTTAGAAAAGCCTCTCAGTGCGCGTGGAGCTCCTCCAAAAGAAAAGCCTAAGAAGGAGCTTACGCCACTTGAGGCAAGAAGAGCACGTATCGAGCAGCAAAAGCGGGAAGAGGTGAGCCAAAAAAGTGGGTAATAAGTAATTTTCTCTTGGAATTCATGCCACAGAAATTGCGTGGTCTGTGCTTCATAAACCATAGTTTAGCATAGTCTAAACCTTTGGGTCCCATGTCGCTAGGTTCTATTGTTCCAACAGCAACAAGAAACTCTATATCTCTCTTAGTCCGCCATGTTTTTACTCCAATGGAAGCCACTTTCCATATTTGCAGGATGCCTATCTAGCCTCATGGACAAAACTGACGTTTGCGTAAACTGCTGTCTACATAGGTTGAGCGGACATCAGGGGGCTCTATCGAATCACCTCGATCGGGGGGGGCTAATCTGCCACGGGAAACACTAGACACGAAGGGCGATGCGAAATCTCGGGGCCAGGCCGAACGTGCCAATAGCCGCATTGATTCTGATCGGGGAGATTCAGCCAGAGATACCGGCAGCAGGAACAACAACCGGACCGGCCAAGCAACTGCAACAGGCAGCCTTCAAGCTGGTGGGAGAGGCTCGGGCGTAGAGCATAACGTAGGAAAGGAGGGTACTCCAGCTGTGCAAAGTGACAACGAGGTGGGGGGCAGCGGTACGGAACACGATCCACTCATTCCCGAGGGCAGAACCTCAGAGCGAAAGCCTAGAAACGGCGACGGCGCCGTCACAGGAAAACAGCCGGAGACAGCCCAAGAGGAGAAGAAGGCCGAACGCGAAGCGGTGCAAACCGCGGGAGACGCTGATGGAGTCGGAACCGCAGCCCCCGGTGACAACGCCAACGATCTCCTCGAGGGTGCCGCTGGTGGCGATGGTGGCCGTTTCCGAGGGATGCGAAGCCGCATGAAGCAAGCGGGGAAGGGCCTGATGACAAAGAAGAGCCCAGCGTCGTCGGTTCGTCGAGGGAAAGAAGCCGAGAACCAAGCCAGCAGCGGAACCGCAAGAAAGGAAGACGAACACCCTGGGACAGTGGGGCGCACGAGCTCTGGAACGACGGGGGGCACGAGCTCTGGCGATGCCTTGTCCGACACGGAAGGCGAGCGTGAAGAGGAAAGGGCGGGGAAGGCTGGAGGAGAAGACAACAGTCTGATTGGAGCCGGCGGCGTCCAGAATACACCAGAAAATCGAGGCGATGACTCCGACACGGCAAGGTGGGGGCGGCCTACTGTAGTCACAGCAAGCTGTAGAGGTTGTAGACGCGGTGACAAGCTAATGTGCCAGGCACGACGGTGACTGGGCGTGATGTCAACCAAAAAATTGAGTGCTTTAGCAGCAACAGCCGTGAGCCAAATCTTACCTCATGCGTGAAAGTTCTGGACGTTGTTGGCCGAAATTTACCCCAAATGGGATTTAGGAGCTGTTGGGATTTGGCGGGTGACACTACTGTACCTATATGCCACGTATCCCACCTTCCGTTCGATAGCGAGATTGTTCTTGTCGCTAAACGTTAGTGAGACGGAGGACCAAGATGAGTTCGATGCAGATAGAGACGAAGGTGGTCAGGAGCGGAAGAACAAATGGACACGGAGCAAAGACAAGAGCTTGGCCGACGCCCCGCTAACGGGAGACAAAGAAGTGAGTATATGAAGCATTTCGGCAGAGGATCACAATCCTCCAAATATGTTAGCCGAAAATGGGACCGTACACATGGGGATCTTTCCGAGTAGATGACATGGGCGACTCAGATGGCATCCGCGACTCCTTTCGGAAAATACAACCGTGGTATCTGTCGAGACTTCATGTATTGGTTATGGCCAGATTTTCTTGTTTCTCCCGTATGCCCGATGTGAAAAGTCCCCGTTTCTGTTCACCGCGCACAACTCTGTCGGTGCACAGGTAACGCTAGGTCACGTGGTCGACCGAAAAATGCGGGAGATGGGCTACATCAGAAAACCGGCCGTGAACGAGCTGAAGAACCGACGTTCCCTCCGGGATAGGGTGGCCGCAGAAGGCGCACCGGAGGTAGGGTTAGACTGGGCGACAGAGAGCCCGACTATCATCCGTTGGCTTTGAAGGCCCCCACTCGGATGGTACAAGAGTTTGCGGTCCTCACCAGAGAGGAAAATCACTACTGAGTACGACAGCAGTTGCATGGAATCGTCAACCCTGTCCACATCTCGTTCCTGACCGAATGGACGCTATTTGCAGCGGAAAGGTTGAGCGGGGTAAAGAGCAGGGAGTTCTCGGCGGTTAATGGTTCTGCGGCAATTTTCCGGCTCCCGGACATGCAAATCTTGGTGCCAACTCCAGAAGCTAGAATAATTGAATGCATCTGTATGTGATTGTCGCTCCATGCACGTTCCGTTGTGGAACAACCCTTTATCCCGCGGAAACCCAAGGACCACGAAGACTCGTCTGTTGCCTCCCAGAACTTGTTCGCCTTTGAATTGCTCGCAAGCATAACACAGAACCACGCACGACCTACGGCGTGCGGTAGTTTTCGTCTCATAATGCGCACAGCACGATGTTCTAAACCATAAAAGTTAGCAGGCGGCACCAAGAGCAGAGAAAAACTTCAAAAGTTCCCCACACGGAGGCAACACAACGACGAGGACAGACATCTGCTGAGAGATGCCTTCACGAAACGGTGTCGCGAACAGCGTGCACACGGGTGAAACGAATTTACTTGTTGCACCCGCTGGAACTCCCTAATATAAACCGGCGAAAAGGTGCACTTTATAGGGGAGATCTCGGGGGCGGAAGGCTTTGGGTCGGGGATCTCCTGCCGCTTTCGCGTCGAGGGCGGTCGGCACTGGACTTGCCTGGCGGGTCTCGAGGAGGGACAGACGCACGTGATGCACATGGACTACGGAGACACGTTCGCGCCGTGGAATCACCCGGTTGACCTCCACTACACTACCAAGAGCATACAGGTAAACTTCGATGATTTAATTGCTTCCTCGTTCTGCTTGAACAACGGCCAACCAGTAACTCCAACAATATGGGGTTACGCGGAGTGAGGGGTTTGAAGAAGGCGGCAGCGTTCTTGTTTCTCCGCGTCGAAGCGGAGGGACCAGGAGACTAGTATTGGCAGATGCGTTCAACTATTGTCCTTTTCATGAAAAGCAACTGGCGTGCACTGCTGTATTATACACTCCATGTCGAGTCTAAACGTAGCCAGGCAATCAAAACACTGCCGGACCCGATGACCCGCTGCCGAAACCCGTCGAACTTCTCACTCGTTTCGATGTGTGCCGCCTACACAATGCCCAGGGGTGGCCTCGTATGATGCTGCAGGTGTGGCAGTTGGATACGCACGGCCGGAACGTGCTCAGGGGGTACGGGTTTCGTCATCTGCCGTCCACCCCTGGCTTTTCCGAGGTTTCGGTACCGTGCTGGAGACCGAGCGGCAGCATGCAGGTACGTCAGTTGGATCCTGCGATCACGGTGACGTCGTCGTTCAAAGGGACGCCGTTTGCCCTGTGAAGGATAGGGTAGACTCTACGAGTTCGTCAAGAACAGAATAGAGACTGGCCTCCCAATGGTGAAACGGGCGGGTCCTAGTGCACGATATTCCACAACAATTGGAATCACAGTCGGCAACAAAACCAGTGCTACCTGCAGAACGCGCCCGCAACGTAAGAACCCAAGTTAAGACATTATTTATCCTTAAAAAACAACAATGTGTTGGAACTTGAGCACCATTTGTTTGTGAGCTCGGTTAAGAACTCCTACACTAACCCCTAGACAATCTAGCGACCATTCGTAGCATGACCCTAGGAATACAGTGAGGACCCCAGCCTCGGCCGAAACTATGTAGAGGTTCTTAAGTGCGGGCGCGTTCTGTATTCCTGAAATACGAACGTAAGTCTGTGAGACGTGGTTCTCCTCATCGTTCATACTATACTTGTTGAGAAAACAAAGATGGTTTCTGAGATCGTCTGATCGTTGACCGCAAGATAATGCCCATCAAGCGAAGTAGATTGGTGGGGATCTCTCAAGGTTTCTCCGCAGAGGTGGGGAAATGTGCTTGAAACGCAACGACATCCTCTGTCGCCTCCGACTGTCCAACGAATCTACCACGCATCCCTTGTGATTATTTTGCGTGTACATGTACGGTCTGCTATTGGGTGTTTATCAACGCAGGAGGAAACGGCGGCCTTCTTTCTCGGGGTTACGCCTCGTCTCACGGCCGAGGATGCCGTTTTTAACAGGGCGTGGGATCAGCGATGCCGGCTCATCACGCTCCCGGCGGGCACGGTTTGGCTCCAGATGCACGGGCTGTTTCGTAACCTGGAGGACCAAGGGGTGGACAATATTTGATGTTCCAGAGTAGCACTTGTTTTGCTGCCTAGAAGTTACCGTGTGCTAGAGTACAGTGTTTTTCTACTACGTGTTGGCCTACAGGTGATATCGTTCACAAAGAAAACATGCATGAGATGGTCGTCCAGAGGAGTCCGCACCTTTACATGTCGTGATCTCTGTATTTTTTTTTCCCTTGGGAATTCGACCGCTGATGCGTCTACGCATAGCGATGTGCTTCATTGGTTGTGGTCGGTGATGATCACTGCCACCCATCGCGCCCTTCCGTCCGTCCTCCCAGCGTAGAAGCCTTCTTTCGGGCATGCAACGCTCGCGGGACTGTCATTCGGCACCGTCTTGGCGAAACGGCGTTCAATCGAGGGTTAGCTACTGCATCTCTGATCGTTGCCCTCGAACTTGCGCACACCATTTGAAGCCGACCTTCAGAGACAGACAACATCAAGCCCTATCGTGAACGAACCTTTTTCGATTCTTCTGTGATCGCGTCGGCGCTAGCTACCTACACATATCTTTGCCCTTTTTAATCCTCCGGCAACACGCGCATGCAACCCACCACCATACAAGTTCGCCCACCAGATAGTAGGCCGACTCACGGGCACAACCTCGCCGCAGCGGTTGCTTCCAAACATCCCGGCCAAAGCGACAGGAGGAAGCACGACAACAGGAACAAGCAAGCTGTCGTGAAACTAAACGATTCGCTTCGGCTCTCTAGCGAACTGTTGGTGGCCTCCATACAACAAACGACAACACGGTAAACGAACTTATCTCTCTCTCTCTCTCTCTCTCTCTCTCTCTCTCTCTCTCTCTCTCTCTCTCTCTCTCTCTCTCTCTCTCCCCTCTAATTTTCACGTACACCCCTGGCTTTTGCCGTCGCAAAAAAACGTCAAGTAGCGTCGGGCTGCTGTCACCGCTCCATTCATGACACCAGATGCAGCCTGGCACACAACGGGCACACTGGCAGGAGGATGTATCTCGAAACAAGATATTCGATTTTTGCCCTTCGGCTTGCCAGTCGCGAGCTACCAATAGCCCATTTTTTCTACACGACTATGTATACACGACTATATACCGGCTTTGGCCGAACCCCCATTCCTCTCAAGGCGACCCAGCCCCCCGTCCGCTAACATCAGAGGCCGCAACACACCATTGAGCAACTACAGCACAATAGACCTGGATGGACCACCACCCCGTGTCGCCAAAACCCGAACATCTTCGAAGGCCCCCACAGCCCAAGTAGGAACGGCCCTGAATCTTCTCGGGGCTCATCCTACCCTCCTCGCTGCTGTACCATCCGAAACTGCCACAACGACAACGACCAAGAACCTTACACACGTCAAAAGATGGACCTTCTTCCCGGAATAATACAGTAGGACAGGGGCCCCGGGGGCTGGTGGCGTCGTGTGTCGTTCGGGCAGGTGCGAGGGTAGCACGGCGAGACAAGACAGTGTATAAGGGGGGGGTGTACTCATAGTCGTGCATGCTGTAGCCGTTAGACCATTGACTTCGCATCCCTACAAAGCCGGGACGGAGGACACCGGGTTCTCACCGGACCAGGCTCTCACATTACCAAGCACGAAGCGCCGTGAGGTATTCGGCGAGTCGCATGAAGGGTGCGCTGCATCCTGCAAAGGGGGTTCGGCATCTTGTGCTTACTTCCTTGCGTACGAACGACAGCTGCGTATGACTTATTTTATTTTCTGGTGCTTTCACTTCCAGAGACAGTTATAAGCACTGTGTAACTGCCTCGAGGATGCTTTACCATTTTAACACAACGTGGTGAACAGCGAGGTAAAAAAAAAAACTGGTAACCTGGTTGCCGAGTTCACGAAGTGAATTGGCTTGTTTTACAACGTCGTTGCCAAGCGACGAAAACCCAACCCCGATGGCAAACACCGGGGGGGGGGAGGGTGTAAGGGGTGGGGAAAAACATGAGGTGGGTCTCCAGGATCGCAAGTGTACGGAGAGGTGTGGTTAGGCCTCCGCCCATCGAAGAACGGCTCTCTACCGCACAGTATCCAGGGTGCAGGACGGTCGACCAACAAGGGGCACGCCGATTGGTACGCACCACCGCGTACCATCCAAACAGCAAGGTCCACAAGGTCTTCTAATATATATGTCGAAAGAGGAAAAAAATAAAACCCTCAAAACGCCGAATTGTGAGAGGTTCACCGTGTACCTGTTGGCGTGATCCCTCCGACATTTTCTCGGCCTCTACTGTCTTGAGGCGGCCCACCTCATCGCCGGAAGCAGCCCGACAAAAAAAAACACCGGCAGCATCAGCAGCACGAGTCGCCTTAGTTGGGAGTAGTTCGTCTCGAGCTCCTTGTTTGTCTTGCGCAACTCCTCCGTGGCCTTCTGCAGCTCTGAGGCAAAGAGGGAGAAGCAACATAGTGGAAGGAGGGACCGGAGGGGTGCGATGAATCTTGGGGGCGCAGAGGACAGCGCTGTCGATCCATCAGATGGACCCTTGATGGCTTACCGTTCGGCAAGATGTACAGGTTGCATTGCGATAGACCGAAAGGCATCAAGCCTTCCACTAGGCCAAGGCAGCTCTCCGAGCACGAGCGCGAGAACATGCACTGGCCTGTTCACGAGTCATCACCACAATTCCCGCTACCCGCTGTTGACTGCACCAGGCCTGCCTAGCGTAAATGCCCACCTTCAAGCGACGCTTGGATTGAGGTGACAGTCTCCGTAGATCTGTCGGGTGTATCTCTGAGTACGGAGAAGGCGAAAAGAGAGAGGGGGTAGGGGGGCCACCCATGAAGACAAGAGAGAGAAAAAACTGCCGTGGAGGCCTGATACTCGTGTCAAAACAAGGTCATCTACGTACCTCCGTGAAGAGAGCTGAAGTGTCCCCCAACGCACGATTCGGGACAACAGACAGAGAACCGCAGGGGGAAAGAGCGCTGGCGGTTTCAAGTGGGTCAGACTGAAGCTACCCGAACCACGAATCTGGATGCTGGGTGGATTACGCCCGTGTAAGCTATTTGAGGGCAAGGAGGAGTTGTACGCACAGATGGCGACCTGGTATCGACAATACATTTGGCGCCTACACTCAAGAAGCTCTACATAGTGTTGGCCGAGGCTGGGGTTCTTAGTTCCTGGGGTTGGGCTACAAACGGCCGTTACATAGGTTTCAGTGTAGGGGTTCTTGACTGGGGCCGAGGTTCTTAGTTCCTAGGGCTATGCTACCAGTGGCCGCTATAATAGGTGTTGGCGTAGGGGTTCTTAGCCGGGCTCACAAGTGGTGCTCAAGCTCTTACATTTTGAGGTTTTCGAGGCCCATCTTCTAAACGGCCAAGTTCGTAACTCCTAATACGTCTCCGCTACAGTGACCTCTCCACATACTCCAGCTGCAGCACGCGAGCGACTGCTGTTCCTGCTGCCACGTTTTTTTGTGAAATGACACTGAGCTCGACCTACCTCGGGAGGTCGACCTCTGCTTGCGCTGTGACCTCCTGCTGTCCCGTTCGCCCAACCCGTGTTGTCCATGAGTTGTTCCATGCCGTTTTGTTTGGAAAAGTCCCGTCGAGGCGCCCATGACGTGGGAGAAAAGGAGCGAAGGAGGGAGGGAGGGAGGGAGGGAGGGAGGGAGGGAGGGAGGGAGGGTGAAAGAGGCCATCCACATTGCCGGAGAAAGGGAGCGGTTCAAAAATCTACGACGACACTCGAATCATGCCGCCGTGTGCCTCTGCAAGCTCTTGTGTACGCGTGCCACACTAACAACGCTTCACGGGTGGTGTTTGCTATCGGACGGAGGTGCCCAAGTCTGGAGCATGTCCCTGCCGAGCCTCTCCCCACGATGCGTTTACGGGGTTGGTTCGACAGTGGCACCCTCTCCGTCGGCGAGCGATCCGGACGCGGAGAAACATTCGGCACCCGTTCACAAAGGAGAACTTCGCGCCACTCACGATATGCCTTCCATAGCGAAGACTTGCGGGCGCCGTTATATGGATAGGGTGGCTGGGCGGGCCACGTTCGCATACAGGACGGGGTGCGAAAAGCGGTGTAAAAAACAAACAAACTTGCTGACCTCGTCGTCGCTCTCGGCTTGCGGTAGCTGGCGGGCTACTCCTGGCCGCGACCATTCCCCTGCCCATGGGCAACGCCCCAAGCAAGAAGTGCACCACAAAAATGAACGTTCGTGAGAGGCAGGGGTCAGGTGGAAATCACGCGATTCGGACAGCATTGCAGTACGAAGAGCCATCCGAGGGGAACAAAACCTGACCGTTGCCAACCACGCTGAACTCCAAGAAAAAGGTTAACTTTGGCACCCCCACGTTACGGCCTATCCAATGCCCTACAAGAGGCAATCTTCGGGATTGTGCGAGGTGGTTGTAAACGATGCTCTACATGTAAGGGTCTGTCTTAACGAAGAGATCAGATCTCGAGATCACATTCAGATTTGGTTATAAGACCGGAAGATCCACAGAACTCTTTCGTTGATTGGCTAGAATGTTATGGAACCCGTCGAATCTTTAGGACTTAAACAGGACGACCCAAAACCAAATCGGGATTTGAAAAAAGGCGAAATCATTTAATCGGATCCCGATTTGGGTGAACAGCGTCCATAGTCGCGGGACCACGGTCTACTCGCATACACGGCGCGTGCCCACCTACCCCCATTCACACGAACTCCATCCACCGCCGAGCACAGAGGAAAGAAAAGGCACAAAAAGCCAACCCAAAGGGAGGGTGACTGTGCATCGTTGTTGCTCGTGACTGGTGCCGAAAAAAAACGTGTGTAAGATGTGTTGGTCTGTGGGACTATCTCCCGTGGGTTGTCGAACTTCAAATTCATAGACGAATTGGCGGCTTTCCGTCGGACGAGGCTCGATTCAAAGTGTCACATGCATAGACATCGTGTCAGTACCGCACAGAGGCCATGTACGCGTTTGGTGTGTGCTTGTCGGGAGCGATAGCTCCCCATGTGGTGTGGCCACGTCATAACAGTACGTCACAACAGCAATCTGGCAGTTGGCAAGCGGCGGGCCTCTCGGGTTGTTTGCGGTGGACTGCAGAGATTCGTTTCCATTTGGCAGATCTCCCGTTAAGACACACAGGCCATTTCTGTCCGGATTTGGGTAGATCCGACTCTCTTATTCTTATATCGAAAGTGATTTCGAGATCTGATTTCTTCGTTAAGACCGACCCTGATCTGGGTCGAACAGATCTTCAGACGCAACGGGTACCTCTGATATTCTGGAAGCATATGGTCACCGCAAACGATACTCTTCTTCATCTGGCTGGGTCAACCACAGAGACAATTTCAAACGCCGAAAAGAAAGGACTGAAACGCGAGCCAGGTGCAGGGCGTCTTTATCGACAGGATAAAATTTCACGGGAGGAACAAAAAGGTTTCGACTAGCGATTGTGTAGTTAAAGATATACCGGGTACGCCTTGGCTCTCACATGCATCAGCAGTCGTCGCGGTACGTGGAAAAGGCCAATACTGTGGCCCGGGCTGCTCCCGTAAGCAATCGATCCGATCGTGGTGTCCGAGCTGCAGTGACGCGGGGGTATCATCGCAACCGACACGCTCGCCGTTGAGGAGGAATCGCAAGGTGGTCACGCATACGCCCTTGCGGTCGGCGTAGGTGTCAAATACCCTCTTCATGGGCGTGGCCATGCGGAGCTTGAAATATGTTTCCTCGCCTATCTGTCGGCCAGCAGGACGGGGGCGCGAGGGGTGCAACCGGCGGACACAACAAGGAAGCAGCCAGAAGTTCTGTCATCAAACCTTAAACATGAACGACTAATGTACCCCATCTAGGTAACCATGGGCAGTCGAAAAAGTTAACAATTAGACTATTCACGAAAAAGTTCATGCCAGGCTATACATGAACCGCCCCTTTCGTACGGCTTCATCCCGAGAATCTGCCCGCGCTATTGTATCCACCCGGGTCCAAAAAGGAAGAGCACGAAGCCAAAAAGCCATGTTCAAATGACGTGCCAGTTGTGGGACGCGTCGGTGGCGAAAGCTCGGTGGCACAGCAATGAATGGTCGGAGCTGTTAAAGTTTGAGCTTCAGAGCCGAAGCTCGTAGTGACCATGCTGGGAGAAAAACAAAACTTGCGCTGTTGAAATACAGCGCATCACTGCTGTAGGATGTGTGTAGTAGAATAGATGCAGCTGTATGATTGCTGTATGCAATGATACGTACATGCGGTGTGATATGTGACGTTTGGTAAAACGTAACATGTATGACGAGTTCTAGCGAGGAACTCACGAATGAATTGATGGTTGAGCAGAGGATTGTAATTGTAGCGAGATCACGAGGTGTTGCGAGCCCCACCGGGTTCACTCCCCAACTATCCCTCACCATCTCACCTCTGCAACTGAGCTAGGCTCCGGTGCCACCGGCAGGCAATAATGAAAGTCCCATTGAGGCAACAATGATACTAACTAAGGTCTCGACGACTACACACAGGCTTAACCGCCTGCAGACACGACCCTTGGGTAAAGGGCACCTCGACGACACATTTCTACATGGATGGCACGCTAACTGGTGTCTGAAGAATCAACGAGGCCTCGGCAGAGCAAGACCTTCGTCATCGCGAGATCAGCAGAACAGCGAGGACTGAAGACCGCCGACAACAGCAGCACAGGAGAGAAGATAGTACGGCCAGTGGCAGCAGGAGTAATTAACCTGCTGCGCTGAACAAGCACCCCCGGGAGTGGGCTGGAGACTGCTCGGCGGAATACAAGTCTAACAACTGTGTTCACGCTAGACGAAGACTTGAAGCAGCAAGCACCGGACGGGCATTGAGGGCCCTCACCCCGTGACCGGTAAGTCGTAGGCCAGCGGGAGCGTGATCATTTCACCCCGTACACGACGGACGTCAGGAAAGTCCTGCCGTGAGTATCGGCTCTGTGTAGTGGCAACCTCTCCGCTGACAAAATTTAAATTGTTGCGCCGAGATAAGGTCACGCGGCAGGCAGGTACGCCACCAAACCGAGTCTATAGCCTGTACACTATACACTCGGGTGAGCGATAATCCCTAAGGGCAGTAAAGCGGCGGGGGTGGAGCGAGCGCGATTCCCAACCCGTGTAATCGAGAACTGCGGTCGGTGAAATTTGAGTCCTGATCCGGCTAAATTCACACGACGTCTCGGTGGAATTGGTGACGCTGATCCCGTCACAACCACGCGAGAACCCCACCGGTAGAAGAAGATCTCCAATCGGCGCGGGTCTACGTCCTGACAGAGTAGACAGCGCGGCTGCGGACCACCCTACATTAATAAGGAGCTAGGTGCTGGGCAACAAATTTCCTTCATCGAGAGCAGCAGGAGTCACTGCATCTACAGAGAAAGGAGGAGCTGCATCATCAGCAGCAGAAGGAAATTCAGCCAAGACTAGAGATAAGTCTTATCATCAACCATCAAGGTCTCACCGAGTGGGTTGCCGGCACACATACGCATCTCAGGAAGTAAGCCGTTAAGCCGAAGAACTCAGCAGTCACACTACGCACTAGTCTGACACGGAAAGCTGCAGTGGGAATTTTCCCCCGAACCCTGAAGTTTAAGCTGGTGGATTGGCCAGCGCTTCACAAAAGGGTTGCGCGAGAAAGAAGGGACTGTACGACATTTCCCCGGACCCTGAAGAGAGCTGGTAACTTGTGCAGCACTTCACAATAGGATCGCGGTGGAAGACAAGGACTGTTCGAGACACGACAAGGAGCAGTTCGACGTCATAGGAATTTCCCCGAACCCTGAAGGCAAGCTGGTAACGTGGACAGCACTTCGACAAATAGGGTGTCGCTGGAAAATATCGAGAGAGCTGTTCGAAAAGAGTTTCCCCGAACCCTGAAGGGAGCTGGTAACTTGGACAGCACTTCGACAAATAGGGTGTCGCTGGAATACGAACCGAGCTCGAACGACGACAAGTACGCCACTCTAAGCACCGGAGGTCGCGCGGAAACGAGAATTGTGCCAGGTTTGGCCACCTGCATCAGCAATTCAAGTCGACATTACAACGAAGAGTACAGTTCTGGAAAAGGAAGCCTCAACACCTGAGCAAGAAGCCTCAACATCTGAGCAAGAAGCCTCAACATTTGAGCAAGGAATTTGACGGAGGAACAATTCAAGGGAATTGGAAAAGGAGAAACTACTGGAAGGAGAGCCTCGGCATCAGCACCTGGCACCAGTACCCACAAGGATCGACCATGGCCCAAGACAGCAAGCACTTCCAACTGCTGAGGAGCCTGCATAAGTTCAGCGGCAGGGATACGGATTATCCAGAGTGGAAGTACACGACAAGAAGGACATTGGCCTTGTATCGGCCCAACATCAACAAACTACTAGGAGAGAACTGGCGCCCTACTCCTATCTATGAACTACACGACGAAAATGATGACGGTGATCAAGATTATGGAGATGAAGATGGTGGAGACCAAGAACATGAAGATCACGAAGACACTGGAGACCGTGATGATCAAGACTCTGCATACCAAGAAGCTCTACAGCAGCTGCGTTCAGCGGAGTCAGCATCTGTGGAAGCTCAAGAAAAGGCGGCACTCGCCCGCAAAGTGCTTACTGATGCTAACGAAGAACAGAAGACCATCACACGAGCGATGAAAGACGCATCGGATACTGCTGAACGACTGGCTGTTCAAGCTGAGACCATCGTTCGTCTGTACAAGGAGCAACTACCACGGAAGCGTTCTTCGCAAGGCCAACAGGAACCACGAACGAGACGAACAGCTTTACGGTCATCATCAATCGGACGTTCCCGTTCTATCGTGAACCAGCAGGAGCTGGACGAATTTGAGGAAGCCGATTCTCAACTATTCAATATCCTCTATCACATATTGATTGGGCCAGCTAAATATGTGTTACGTCGACACGCGCCTGTGGATGAATCGAGTGGCAGCGGACTAGCTGTTTGGAAGGAGCTGGAATCTAAATTTCAGCCTGCCGATGAACACCGGCGGAGAAACCTGGAACGAGAATTGGAATCAGCTACCATGCGAACTGGTACTGATCCAGACATATTCATCACCCATGTCTGGCATCTCGCGGAGCAACTTCGCTTCATCGGAGGGACCGTCACTGATGAGAAACTTGGGGACATCATACTACAAGGACTGCCAGCAGAGTACCACCTGATTCGGTACCATGCTAGTTCGAGGAATGAGTACAACGATCTGGCAGACATCACTCAAACGGCGCGGAACATGTGGTACAATCGAAACCGTAAAGATGGCGCCATCACGACATTTAAGGATAGGAGGAGTTCTGCTCGTGACGCGGGGTATTCAGCCATAACGGAAGCACCTCGTCAGCCAAGACGCCGAGATGGAGGTTATTCGACGCCTTCATACAACGGAGATGCGGTGGAATGCTACAACTGCCACCGTTTGGGGCATGTTCAACGGAACTGTCCGGAGCTGCATTCAGGGAGTGGCCGAGCTCCTACACGGAACTACAGCAGCAGCGGCGGAAACAGGCGAAATGGATACTATTTTCAACAGCGATCGCGGAATAACAATGGGCTTCGAGGATCCAACAACGGTTATCAGCAGCGATCGAGATCCAGCCGACCTGTACGACAAGTGAGAGACCGTCCTACGCGTCGGCAGCAACAACAAAGGCAACGGAAGTGGTGTTCGTTGCACAACACCCACCTGCATGACGATTCAGAGTGTCGTGCCCAACAACAAGATGGTATGGGCACACGACATGCATCAACAGGACGAGGAGGGCCGATAACAGAAGAAACACAAGGGGCGAGATAGGCTAACCCTGTTCGCCACCAAGTCCAAGACAGGGATGGTACTTGGATTTTCAACCCAAGAATGTACAACGGTGATCATCGGACTATCAACAGAGCTGCAACAGCTCATGAGGAGACGAGAGGGTCTGCTCACAACCGGAATGTCCGAACTACGTCGCAACCAACTGAAGAGACAGTGGTTGAAGGTTATAATGGGAACCTTGGATACCCATGCGTCAGCCGCATGGAGATGGCAGCACAACGAGCTGCTTATGTGGAATTTGATCAAGGAAAATTTAATTTACTGGTGGATAGTGGAGCATCGGGCCACTACTTGGACAGCGAAATGTTACCGGATCTGGAAAACGTATTGGATGGCTTCACGTACATCACTACGCCCACGAAGATCATTGGTGCTGGAGGAATTGAGCTTGAAGGGATCAGTGAAGGCATCATCAACGTTTTCGCCAAGGATGAAGAAGGAAACGACAGGAGAGTGCGGTTCAAGTGCACAGTGGTTCCAGGGCTAGGGCGGCACCTGTTCTCTACTGGAACAGCTCAGAAGAAAGGTGCGAATACGATAATGTCAGATCAACCTCGAATCGAGTTGAAGACTACTTCGAGAGATGAATCAAGAATCGCCCTGGTGTTACGAGAAGTGGGGACGCTGTACTTCCTGGATGTGCGACTTGACACAAGCCAGCGTGAACGAAGACAGAGGATCCACGAGGAAAATATGAACACGTACGAGAAAGCATATATTGCTGTCCCACGCGCGCATCACGTTCCATCGTGACTTTCATCGAACCAATGGACGCGGCCATGCCGCCGGTCATACCGACCATTGAGGAACTACGCGACTATGAACCGGAAAACGAATTATCGGTTTCCTCGGATGTCGACATACCCGGAAA